GTTCATACAACCATATGATTACGAGAAATGAATATGGTACAACCATAATATTTCAAGAAATTAGTATGGTTCATACAACAATATGATTGCAAGAAATGAGTATAGTACAAACATAGGATTTCAAGAAATGAGTATGGTTCATTCAACCATATGATTACGAAAAATGAATATGGAACAACCATATGATTTCAAGAAATGAGTATAGTTCATAAAACCATATGATTACAAGAAATGAGTATGGTACAACCATAGGATTTCAAGAAATGAGTAAGGTTCATACAACCATATGATTACAAGAAATAAGTATGGTACAACCATAGGATTTCAAGAAATGAGTATGGTTCATACTGCCATATGATTTTAAAATAAATGAGTATGGTACAGCCAAATGATTTCAAGAAATGAGTATGGTTCATACAACCATATGATTTTTAGAAAATTGAGTTCATTTCATACAAACATGATTTTAAAGATTTCAAAAAATGAGTATGGTTCAATCAACCATATGACCTTTTAAATATAAATCATTGTTGCACAGTCTGGACTGTATATCCTTCAGTGAATTTTTATTACTACATATATGCTGCCTCACTGCCAGCTAATCTGCCACATGTCTAGTTATGTTGCTACATATAGCAGCCACACTGCTGGTTAAAGCACTATAACAATAGATATGCTGCCGAACTGCAGGATGTTCTACCACATTATGAACTGTATGCTGCCACATTGTACAACATGATCAGCCTTATGCTGCCATGTTGCCACCCCTATCAGCTATGCTGCCCGTCGTTCCAGCCTTTATGCACTGAATAAACATTAACAATAATAAAATCTAAACATTTTTAAAATTATAACCAATTTATAGAAATATACCAAACATTGCAAAACAAATCCATGAAATACATGCTATTATCAATTTTCTACATCAGTCTGTAGTTTCCTCAGAGGTGAATCACATCGAACCAATAAACAATGAAAAATAATGAGATACTAATATAGAGTGAAACCTGACAAAACTTAATGCAATCCTGCTGTATTTAACAAACATGGCTTCAGTCTGTGCAATGTACTTTTTTGTCGATTGTAATTGTACAATCTCACTTTCTGCACTTTATATGGCTGTATCATGCCAAGGATATGGTACCTTTTCTAAGGTTATATTGAGGCAGTTGACCATCTAGTCAGTTTGGGTATTAAATGTGCAAACACTGGATTTCAACACCGTTCCAACTGAGTTACTGCAGTTCCCTCTGTAGCAAGATGCGGCACTAGTAGTGAATTCTTTTTTCTCTTATAGGAGAAAGAGAAGACAAAGAAGAGAAGAAGAAGAAAAAAAAGAAGCTCTTCTACAAGAACTTGCAGTAAGTAAATTATTATTTGATTGTTTATAATTGCAGTTTTGAAATGATGTGCTTGTAATTTAAGATAAATTCGCAAATAAATTTTTTTTCTTGTTTGTTTCTATACTGGTAACATTACAAAATGTTCTAAAGAATGCAAAGTGCATTCTAAAAATGTAATCATAATTTAAAAATTTTGTTGTGAATAGTTACTAGTTTGCATAGTTATACCTGCTTGAAAGGTCATTTGTATTGTGCAATCCCCTGTATTAAACAGACACCATTTTGAGGTCAATTACACCTAAAATTATTTCCAAAATAAACCTCCATTCAGCAGTCAGGAAAATGCCACATTTTTCACTTACCAGAGGTGGCTGCATAGGTCATTTTTGACAGAAGAATAACCATTGTAGTATTTTATTTTCTAGAATAGAAACATAATGGAAATGCTTCATTACAGTATACTGGTATGTCATAAGTGAACCTCTAGAAATGTTTCAGAAGGTTTTCTACATGAACTTGGTTATAAATGGTGTATGGTAAGATGATAAGAATGAAAAAAGTTTCCAGTTCTTTTTCATTTGATTGCTGTTTAATATTTGTGCTATAAGTACTCAAAACATCAATACTTCATGAGTGCTAATGAAAAGAAAGACATTGAAGTAATCAGCAAGTTTTTACATAATGGAATTGAATTATTTTCTTGAGTAACATTTAGCCATAATCACTATTGAATATTTCTTTATTCATTTAGAAATGAGAATCAATCATATTTATTTGAGAATATTTATAATTGTTAGAAATATTATGTGAAGAAACAAAATTCTTGCTTTTTCCAGACTTTCCAGTGGTCCTTGTTTTTGCTAAATTTCCTACTTTTTTGTCAGACTCCTTTTTCATTCCCTCCTTTCTTTTTAAATTTTTGTTGAAAATTGGTCACACTCTGCACTAAGAGCTATAATGAGGCAAATTCAGATGTGATCTCTGTTAGCACTGTACAGTTAGTGTGTACTTCTGAGAGGGACCCATAATAAGGCAAATTCAGATGTGATATCTGTTAGCACTATACAGTTAGTGTGTACTGTGTGTACTTCTGAGAGGGACCCATAATAAGGCAAATTCAGATGTGAAATCTATTAGCACTGTACAGTTAGTGTGTACTTCTGAGAGGGACCCATATAAGGCAAATTCAGATGTGATCTCTGGTAGCACTGTACAGTTAGTGTGTACTTCTGAGAGAGAGACTTATATAAGGCAAATTCAGATGTGATCTCTGTTAGCACTGTATAGTTAGTGTGTACTTATGAGAGAGGGACCTATATAAGGCAAATTCAGATGTGATCTCTGTTAGCACTGTACAGTTAGTGTGTACTTCTGAGAGGGACCCATATAAGGCAAATTCAGACGTGATCTCTGTTAGCACTGTACAGTTAGTGTGTACTTCTGAGAGAGGGACCCATAATGCAAATTCAGATGTGATCTCTGGTAGCACTGTACAGTTAGTGCATACATCAGAGAGAGGGATCTATATAAGGTAAATCAGATGTGATCTCTTACAACTGTACAGTTAATGTGTACTTCTGAAAGAGGGACCAATATAAGACAAATTTAGATGTGATCTCTGGTAGCACTGTACAGTTAGTGTGTACATCCAAGAGAGGGACCCAAAAAAGGTGGTGTTACTTGCATTTGAAATATGCACAGTGGAGAAAATGTTGGAATACCTCAATGCTACTTTCATGTACTGCGATTGAAATTTCTGTATCTATAGTCATGTAGTCACTATGGAAACATCAGTATCCCAAAGAAAATGGCTCATAAAATGCCTGCTCCCATGTGCTTGAAAAATAAGCCTAAACTAGTCCTAAGTGGACTTACCTGGGCAGTTGTTCTTCTTTTTCTTCTTCTTCCAATAATGTGCTGTGTTCCTCTGAAACATACTCACATAGATATTAAAATAGGGTAAATGAATCTTGCTGATTAGACAATTCCATGTTCAGAAAATGCAGTGAACTAATGATAAGTAAAAAGTAAAACAATGTTATTGACTTGGGGTTTTTTGTGGATTTTTTCTCTCTCCATTTTTCATTGAAGTTGAGTAAGTGAAAATGATCAAGCAGAGATAATGTTCTTTTTAGAGATGCATATCCAAAGTCAGGTCCAGCTGTGTAATGTGTTAACCAAATTATACACATCAATCATACAATAAAATAAAGGGAATCAAAATTTATTTTAACAATACTAAAAAATATACAAGGTCTCTTTAAAAAAACTAAATTATACACATCAATAATATAATAAAATAAAGGGAATCAAAATTTATTTTAACAATACTTAAAAATATACAAGGTCTCTTTAAAATAACTAAATTATACACATCAATCATACAATAAAATGAAAGGAATAAAATTTTATTTTAACAATACCTAAAACTATACAAGGTCTCTTTAATATAACCAGGATAATCAGTGAAGAAACTTGGGGAATTCTTTTTTAAAAGCTCACATCCTATGCAAAGTGCAAAACTAAGGAGTGCAGCTTCTGTGATATGGATCTGGTGTTTAGATAGATAAAGGCAACCAGGACTGAAAAAAAACAGTATGTCTGTAAGAGCATTCTGTTGATCAAGTTTACAAAGGTAAATCCAGTAATGATTATTTTTAAGGAAATAGCATAAATTTCTTTATAAAATATCTCTATTTTCCCAAACATTTCCCTGCTACTTTATGCCTTTTGTTTTCACAAAGGGTTGCTAAAATGACAGTTCTTCCATCCATTTTTAGTGTTTCTTTTAGAAATTGTAAAGATTTGTTATTCAAAACTCTATGATTTGCATTTAGGAAATAATTAACTACTCGGGCCATTTGTTATTTCAGTGCTGTATTAACAAACATCAAGTTTTGTAATCACTATATTTAGAAGAATAACATTTTATGGTCCACATTTTAACCCTCCTAACCAAGTTTTGTTTACATCCACAGGCAAATAGCAATGAGAAAAATAACAAATACGATGAAAATAACCACATCAAAGAGGATGAGGCATAGCAGAATTGCTTTCCTGGGCCAGAGCTTACTGCCAGTTTTGCAAATGATGAGGAAGCAATATGTACACCATGCTTTGTATTTATATTTTTCTAATGACCAGCAGAAAAGAGTGGACTTAATTATTACAAAATTGATGTGTTCTCAGTTCTATCATCAGTTATTTATTCTATGCCACAGTTTCAGTTTTATTTGGTGGAAATTTTCATGTTAATTCTGAGATGCATCAAAAAAAAACCCCATAGACACAGTTATGAAACAAGTTCAACAAACCATGGAGCAAGAATTTCTTCAAAATCTGCAACAATTCATTACTTTTTCAGCAATTACTCACATAGCATACTTTTATAACATTTACATTTGACTGTCACAGAACAGACTTGGCCTAACTCTGTTTTCATATGGTCTTGTTGATCATTCTGCTTCTGATTTTATGCAAACTGCATAGACACTGGCGTGCCAGTGTTTTGTAGGATTACAAATCTAGATTGAGCCTGTGTTCTTTTTTATTTGTATGGTTGGTGCTTTTTAGCACAGCAACACAAGTCCATTACTTAGTGATGAGGTAATTGGAATAAAGTGCCTTGCCCAAGGATACACCATGGTAGCTGGCCTAGGCTGGAACAATGGTAGGATTCAAACCTGCAACATTTGGATTGTGAATTCAGCACACAAACCACTGAGCCACCACTACTCCAGCTGTGTTCTTCATTGGGTGAATATTATACATATATATAAATTTGGTAAAGTGTTAAAAAGGTCAGGCCAGGTTGAGGCTGTATTCTTCATTGTGTGTGAGTTATGCAGTTATACACATATAAATGTTGTAAGAAGGTCAGTTTACATAGTATTTTAAAAGCTTGTTTCTTCAGGATTTTTGTTAGGATGGATTTCAGATTTGTAGAGTGGTGGTGAAGAAGTTTTTGTATGTTCTAGTCTATATCACAAGACCCCTTGTTGTATATATCAAATGGACGAGTGATAAGTAAAAAGTTTTTCTTCAGTATCATCGGGGATCATTTATTCTAACAATAACACTACTTTGCATGCATGTAATAGGAGAGATATTATCACTATAGTTTGAAAACTGCTTGTAATTGCAGAAATGTTGCTACCTGCAATTGAAAGCTATTTGTAACTACAGAAATGTTACCAGCTAAAATTGAAAACTGTAAATAACAGCAGAGATATTACCACTTAAAATTTAAAACTGCAATTACACTATTGTACAGAACTGGCAAATGCATTTGGTAAATGATTTTATTTGGTAAATAATTGCAAACAGTCACTAAATAGTAAGTGTCTGTTAATTAATGCTATATTGGTTTTGCCTGACTTACAGTAAATTGACTGCATGATTTTTTCATGTTTATTAATTACTAGGACAGGATTTTTAACATTTAGAGAGGATTCTTGCTTTGTGCTTAGGAGATTACACTGGTTTTCTCAATAGTAATGGTCTCTTTTCATATTAATATAGTTTTCTGTCTTGTCAGATTAAATATTAAGTTACTTTTCATGCACCTGTCAAAAGTACTCAGAAAGTCATTGAAAATCGCAAGTGGGTTATTTTTAGTGCAATTGGTACTTGGTATATGACTACATGTCCAGTAATCAAGCTTGACAAGACATATGGTCAAGACTTCATTCTGCCTTTAGTGCCATTTCCACTACTTTGAGCATCCTTTTTTCCCCATGTACCCACTGCTTTTGGTACTGTTTTAACAACTCCCTATGCTCTTGAAGAGCATCTCCTCAGCGTCTCTTCAGATCACTAAAACACCTTAAATCTGCATTGGCCTTTTTTTTTAGCTCTACTGGTCATAGACTAGAAGAGCTTATGAGATGGTCTGTTATTTCTTTTCTGTTGTCTTTCTATCTGTTAGCATAAGTTTGCAGATGCTATCCTTCCTTAACTTGGAAACCTTCCCATGAAACTTTATAAACACATTCATCCTATCTTCTAACTGGTCCAAAATGAAAATGGTTTCTTTGACATTTGACAAGTCGAAACAGTGTCTTACTTGAAAATCTTGTTGCTACTTCTTTGAATGGATGCACATATCTACATGGGGTTTTCAGTGAAAGACTTCTGTGTAGTTGGTCCTAAGTTTAAAAATGGTGCTGATCTGATGTTGAATATGACCGCCATAGTAGCATTCTTGAAATTTACTACTCCTGAAATGAAAGTCATATTGACATGGGACTTTCACCGGAAGACTTCTTATGCTGTCTACATGGCCCTAGATAAAAATGGTGCAAGCGTGGCCACTCTGGTTATCGCTACTTTTCCTGAATGAATGGTCATATCAGCATTGGGTTTCACTCAATGACCTCTAATGAGGTGTGGCTGGTCCAAAACTGAAAATGGACCAATATTGATTCCAATATGGTCACCACAGCTGCCACTTTGAAAATCTTGTTATCACTATGCACATGAATGGAATGTCATATTGACATGTGGTTTTCACCATAAGACTATGTTGTATAGTTTGTCCTGAATGAAAATGGTGTCAGTCTGATGTCCAGTATGGTGTCAAAAGCAGTCATCTTAAAAATGCTGTCACTATTTCTCCAGAATGGATGGTCATATCAACATAGGTGTTTACCAAATGATGTTCAGTTGGTCCTAATGGTGTCATTCAGACATTCAAGTATGCCTGCCAAATGGCCATCTTGAAACTTGTTTTGTTTCTTTCTTATCCTGTATGAATGCTTAGATCATTGTTGGGTTTTCAATTAAAGACTTATTATGATGTCTAGTTGTTTATAAATTAAACTGGTGCTGAATCCAAATTCAAATATGACTGCCTCAATGGCCATGTTGATAACGTTGCCATTAATGCTTCCCATAAATGGCTGGTGACATCAAGATTATGCTGTATCCAAATGACTTAAGATGTCTAGTTGGTACTAAATAGCAATGGTGCCCATCTGATATCTGATACAGCCACTATGGCATTCCTTTTGAAAATCTTATTACTTTTCCAAAGGAAAGGTTACATCCACCAGACAGCTTTGAAAGTCATGAAAAAATATCAAAGTTTCAACACTTGGCAGTAAAAGGAAGAATGGTCTTATTTTGAATTCTTGGAATTTCTTTACAGCCATCTGAGCTTGAATCCCTTTGAGCAGCTCTTGTCCTTTTTTCCACTTATTTTCCAATTTAATGTAGGATAAATTTAAAATTGTACTTTTGTCTGTTTCTGCTTCTAAAAAAGTAAATGCTGAATTTCATTCTTAATGATATTTTTATTCCAAAAGAGTTGCATTTACCTGGAACAAAAGTGCACATTTTGCTGAAAGATCCCAACTTACCATACCTTTTGTAAGACATTCCTATCTGGAACAATGATATCAAAATGAAATGGAAATCAAAATGTTGATTATATTTGTTAATATGAGCATATTCATTTTTCTTACTTTATTACCTAAATTTTGGAACATTATTGGATGATGATTTTCTAGTGATATAAGTATAGGAGGTCATTTACAAACTGGCTTATGTGGTCCAGATTTTGAATCTATTGGTATGTACACCTACTGTCAGATGAATTGGGTTTTGAAGTACAACTGTGATATTTAGACATTATATCCAATCACATGACATTTGGGGATCTCATTACTCTGTGGACTAGTTCAGATTGGAAGTTGAATCACTTGAGGTTGATCGTCTGAGTAATGGGAGGAAGGTGTGCTGGGGTTTACTTTTATGAGGCCACTAAAGAACAAGCCTAACTGATGTGGAACTCAAAGTGTAGTATTATGTGCACCCAACTGTAAGACAGATGAGTCAGGTTAATTTTCAGACTTAAATTTTTGTAGCTGAAAGTTTAAAAATGTTAATTATGGTTTTACTGTGTATAAATTGAGTTTTACCAATAACATAGCATCATTGGTAAAGATCATTATTGGAGTGTAGAAGTAAATTTATCACAAAAATTACAAATACAGTTTTGCCATACCCTGCAAATATGTTGTCCAAAATATCCTTTCAGATTCCATATATACTCACTTACAAAATGATTCCAGCTATGAACAACAAACTGCATGGACACAGATCTGCTGGCACATTATGTGAAAGCAGTTTGTAGTTGAACTCAGAAGCAAATATATTTGGTAGCTCTTTGAGACAAATATATTTTAATTACCTCTGCATTTTTAGTACTGACTGAAACTGATCAGGCCTTAAATATATTTACTAACAATTCTCATATTCAAACCTTTTGTTGATTAGTCTTGAATTTGATCATGTCCAGTTAGAATTTTTTAGTCAAGTCTGAATTAAATTTGTAAGAGTTGTTTATAATGATGATTTGATACAACTATGCCAAAATTTTATTGTTTTTTTTTTTCTTCACTTGACATATTATTTTTAGCTCTAGTGATCATAGACTCAAAGAGCTTATCAGGTGGTCTTTTGTCCATTGTCCAGCCATCTGCACAAGTTTGTAATTGGTTATTCCTCCTGAACTACTTGGAAGATTGCCAGCTATGAAACACATACATTCACCACATAGTTTACTTGGTCCCACATAAAGCTTTTGCTTCTCAGACATCCAGTATGGTCAATACAGTGACTATCTTGAAAATCTTGTTATTGCTACTCCTCCAGAGTTGATGGTCAGATCAACATGAGGTTTCAACTAAAAACAAATTCTTATGATGGCCAGCTTGACAAAAATCATTTTATCACTGATCATATCAGCATGCGATTTTCACAAAAAGACTTTTTATAATGATACTTTTAAATCAAAATGGTGCTGATATGAAATCCAATATTTGGCCATCTTAAAAATCTTGTTTTCACTACTAATCTTAAACAGAAAGTTGTTTTCATATATGAGGTTGTCATCAGTAGAGTTCCTATGGTGTTTAATGGTTCTTAATGAAAATAACCAAATCTCAATTGGCCACCACAGCTAATATCTTAAAAATATCCAATTTTCCAAATAGATGGCGACATCAGCATATTTTTTAACCAATAAACTTCTTATGATATACAGTAGGTCTTAATATGGTGCCAGTTGTACATACAATATGGATGCCATGATGACATACAATATGGATGCCATGATGACATACAATATAGATGCCATGATGACATACAATATGGATGCCATGATGACATACAATATGGATGCCATGATCACTATTCTGCTTGAAACTGAAAATGGTGCCAGTCTGATATTCAGTGTGTGTAACACAGAAGCTAATTTGAAAAACTTATCACAGAAGGATATCAGAGATGGTTTCAACACTTGCCAGTTAAAAGGAAGAATGGTCTTATCTTGAAATGCTGGAAATTCTTGTTGCCCAGTAGAGTGTTAGCCTCATCAAGTGACTGTTATTTTGATACACCAAAGACTATTTTAAAATTAATTGGAAATCTTGAAACTCAATGGTACCTATGCACCACATTGTTTAAGAACGATTTTAATTTGGGCATTAATATCAGATATTGGTAGACATTTTGCACATGAAGAAAAATTATTAAAAGGATTTATATCTTATTTCAAATTTTAAATAAAAAATACTCAGACATTTATATTTTCAAAAATGAGTTAACTCGAATGGAAGAACAGACTCCACTTGCTAGCCATTATTTTTGTGCTTCAGTTTGAGAGTTAATTTTAGAATGATGTTATTTGATAAAACTGTACAATTATACTCAGACAGTTTGATACTAAGTGTTACTAT